CCTGTTTTGGTGGTGAAAAAGGACAGGGACGCACCACAACGTCAAACGCACGCCCGAAATCTGTCCGTTTAGATTGTTCTGAGGATTTTTTAGCTCTAAATAATTTTTATGTGTCCGTGAAAATGCTATGCGACTTTGACGCGGGACGTTTCTTTTGACGCGGGAATGACGTGTTGCGTTAGTTTGACGCGGAGTTGCGTTGGTTTGACGCGGTAATCGAAGATTACCCGGCGCCGCCTCCACTCCTGGGCTTGAATCGCATGATGTAGTCTTTGTCTGGAGAGATCGCGCACGTATGCTACCAGTCAAAAACCTGTACTCGTTCGTGAAAACGGCAAAATCTGTCCGATTTCCGACCAAGATTTCAAGCCTCCCAAATCACTTAAAGAAGCTTTCCCACCCCTTAGCCTTCGTCATAGATGTCCAATCTACCTGCAGATGTAGTCAGAATGCTGGTAGGTCTATAATTGCAAGGTTGGCTAGTTTCGTTACTTTATGTAATTTTGGTCATTTTTTTGCCACGAACGACAAATTCAGTTCTACGCAAAAATGTACTAGAGCTACGTGAAAAATGAATGGAATTTTCGGCAAATTCTCATTGTCGTTTAAAAATCAAAGTTCGACCTCCATGGTTTTCTTGCCACCGTTTGAAACAGCAGTCATGTCAAGACGATGAACCAACAATCCATCCCCATCAGATTCTTCCTCTTCAAAAGCTTCTACTTCTGCTGCAATCCTGGCTCTTTCCGCGAAGACCGTATCTATATTGTGCTCCTGTTTGCCAAGATCAAGAAGGTGTTGCCTCAGATTCAGGAGCGGTCGACCAGCCCATTCTTTCATCAATGCAATCTGGAGATCCTTCCCCTTTGGGATCTTATCTGCCTTCGTCTTCCGGACGCTGAGCCATGTGCCAATTTGTAGCACATTCATTTTTTTGGGATTCGTTATCCCCTTGAGTTCGAGCTCTGTATACTTTTGCATGCGAAGGTGGAAACCATCAACAGCCCTTCGAATTGGATCCAACACGCTCTCCAGCTTTTTGGCATCTCTCTCTCTGCGAACTGCCAGCACTCGATTTGATAGATGGACTTCGCCGCTCTTGAAGAGTCCCCCAGCGGTCAATTTTATGTCTTTCATGAACGTTTCGTGGGCAGCTGCGTCTGCAGCAATCTTTTTCTTTCGCTCTTTCAGACGTGCTTGGACGCCAGCATTTTTGCGCATATGAACAATCATATCAATCATGATTTCACTATTGCCAACATTCATGTGCAGTGCTAAGGGTCCAATGTTGTCAGTAAATGCACTCTCCTCCACCTGGCAATCAACCAACTGGGGAGTTCGGGGTGTTACGGGAGTTCCAGGATGTTCCGATTCAGCAGTTGTTCCTTCGGAAGTATTTACATGAGTCACCCGTGTGTTCAAGATATCCGTGTCTTTCAACAGTCTCATGTCGAGATAGTACCATCCTCTTGCAATGATGGCATGGAGATTCTGTACTTTCCGAGCGAACGATACAGCCCACGCTTTGCAGATCAAAGGTATTATATCCGATCGCTTGATGTCGATGCTTGGATGCATCATCCTAATCTTGTGATACACCAATCTCTTCTTCTCCCTTGTCATTGCCATCTTGAAGGATCCGTTTTGCTGTACAGAATCACCAACCTGCCATTTTGCGGTTCCGTTTGGCAAGCCGATGCAGCCTATCCAAAGTGGATTCTGGAACTCATCTTCACTGTTGATGTACTCAAGGAAGGGAACTTGAAGGCGGCTGTCATGGCCATCGAAGAGAAACATTGGCGTCGGTCCTTGCCGGGTCCGTGGATAGACCCCTAGTTCGTCCAATGTCTCCAGTGCTTTCTTGAGAATCTCGGAAGTCATGGATCCCTTTGGAGACACAGCAACCATACCAGGCACTTCTTTTCCTCTGAAGACACAGACGGGAAGTCCCGGAAGCACCTTTCCAGGACCATAGTTCTCTTCAAGTGTCTTTGTCCCGTCATACATTACATCAGATTGGTGGTCAAATCCGATGTAATCTTCACAAGCCAACTCCTTGCCCGCAATGATAACAATACACATCACTGGATCTCCACTTGCAGCAGTCAGACCCATCACAGTGAAGCGACCAGTGGCCTTTGTACTGAGCAGCTCCACCTTTTGGCCATCTGCACTTTTGATGTACGTTTCGCCGCCGATGTGTCCATCTTGGTCTTGGGCAGTATCCGTTCCGACTTCGTCTCCGAACAACAAATACTCTGGGTGTATGAGCTTAATTGTGCACTTGTGGCCAGCCGCCTTGTCCTCAGAATCAACAATCTGCCCCACATTGTCAACCCAATAGTGTTCACTTTCTGGTAAGCGCACTGCGATTCCAGCTTGGAGCATTTGCTCATACACCAACCCGTACATTTGTTGGACGTTCTCATATGTTGTCCAGTCCTTCCGTGCTCTGTCCTGCTTGCTTCCTCTCCCAGTGTTCAAGATATCTCTGTTTCTATTCATGAAACCTTTGAACCACCTCTTGCCAAGCAACTCTGTTGGTTGAGCTTTGTGCTTGCTATGAAAGTCTTTTAACTTGTCTTCAAGTTTGGATCCTACTACAAGAGAATTGGCCAAAGCAATGGTTTCTGGTTGTGTCAATGGTTGTCCAGCTTGCTGTCTGTATAGTGTGATTTTCAGGATGTATGGCTCAAAAGCAGCTACTGGAGAAGTTGGCCCTCGTTTGGTTGTAGTCGTTTTTCCCCGTACTCGACTCTGGATTGTGGTCTTTGGAATTGAGAAACCAGTTCTGCCAAGTCCAAGCTCTTCCATTACTTCATTGTGTATCTTTCCATAAACGCCTTCAGTCAGCCGCTTTGGACTGGCAGCAGCCTTGGCATTTGCGTAGCGCTCTGTAAGCATAATCTTTGCCAAATCTTTCTTCTTCACAACATCCTTGGTTGCTTTTTTTGTTGACCCCTTGGGGCGACCCACCAGCTTGGGCTGTTCTTCTTCTTGATGTACCATTGTGACAATTGGAGCTTTCTCACGTTCAAGGATTCGTGTCTTCTTGCCTGTCACCATGCTCAAGGTCAACTACGGAAACAACAGCTGCTTTTCCTTCAAACGAGCTCCAAACACACCATAACTCTCCTTACGGGAAGATTTGGCCTGGAGATCAATGAGCATCCTTGCCATCTCTTCAATGACTGGCCGTCTGGCACGTTTGATTTTGATATCTACCTCCTCTGGGGATGCTTGCATACGCCTCTTGCATGACAACACCATCATTTCTTTCAATGATGTTGGAGTGAGTTTTGGAAATAATATTGGCCTATATCAGTGCCTTTTTTAATACTGCTTCTACGTGGGCTACGTGATTCATGATTTTGCCGTTTTTTGGCGCAGTGTCATCGCGCCCGAATCAAATTTATCTATGCTGACATCTCTACTAGAACATCATATGGAAACTAGCCAATCAGCATGTAGACTAATTAAATAATGAGCTTCCAGCCTATGTGCTTGGATTTTTTTGGAACCTTTTTCTTCAGCGTCCACGACTTCGAAAGGGTGATTTTGCCGTTTTACGAACGAGAATTGCTCACGAACGAGTACAGGTTTTCGACTGGTACCGTGGAAACTGTGGCAAAAGCCTGATGCTACATACGAGAAGCGAGTAGGTTTGGCACAGTAGCGAGGTACTAAGTTAGTGACTGGTTTGCACCGAGGTCGAATCATAGGATTCGAAAAGGACAATCAATAGGATTGACAGACAAACCCGTACCAAATGGGGTACCGAGCTATGGTGCAAATGAGAGAGAGGGTGGTGAGGGCGGGAAAAGCAAAAAAAGCTGACGGTCTTGACCGAGCAGCTAAACTCCTTCTATCGCCTCCATCATCCCACAAGCTCCCATTGCGAACAATGTCTTCTCCAAATCTTCCGTCCTCTTCGTCGACACTCTTCGCTCCGTCCGCCAACCGTGTACTTCACTGAAGCGACGCGCCGTAATCGACACAACGGAAATTGAGACTAAGGAAGAGCTAGAAACGCCCATACGTCTCCCGTCTTGCCGATCTAAGTACACCCGGCAGAACGATGATTTTCGTCAATGTTCGGAGAGCGGACAGACTTGCAACTCTTTTCGAAATCCATGTGATTACGTGGGATAAGAAGATTAACTCGTACTTAAGAGCAAAAGCCAATGATGACCAATTTTATGATTGGTTCAAACAGAAACGATGAGAAGCGACCATAACGCGATCAGAAGTGAGTAAAATAAGGTTTCTGCTCGTTCCGAATGGAAATTACTCTCGTTTTGGTGGCTTCTCATCGTTTTGGTGGCTTCTCATCGTTTCTGGAAGTCCCACAAAAATATCCCCCGGACTGTTCAGTCCTACCCCCATGATCTTCATCCGCGATGTTTTATCCCCAATCAACCAAGTCTCGGCTTGAGACATAGAGCAATACCGGAAAGGATTGGAGAGGAGATTGTGAGTGTCAACAATAATGCTCACAAAACGTCATTTTGTCTTTTGTGTCGTTGATGGTTACGGGTATTATTTGTTCTGAGATTTTTTCAGCCGGCGGAAACATATATACCCCCATATACGGTAACGTCTGTACGTCCTCTCACTGCATAAACATACTTTATTGTGGGTACGTAGAAGTCAGTAGATATTGTTTGATGTTTCACTTCAAAGACAATAATAATGCAGTGTATTTCACTCCAAGAACGCTGATGAGAGGAGCCATACATGGGAGGCACCCAGCCAGCTCAGGGACGTACAGCCTCTGGAGGAAGCACGATGCCATCGATACCAGCTATTGTGCACGGTGACAGGACTTTGGGGCATATCCTCTTCGACTCCTCTTCGAGCTACATCAAGAGGAAGAAGAAGTTCTTCCCAAAATAGGCGATGATTCTGGCAAGGGCCTACATGGCACATCCTTCAACACCCTGCCCCGGCAATGAGACGGCGATGAAAACCATCCTTCCATTATGGTGGATGAGATGAAGTAACAATGCCCAGGCATATCTTGGAAAAACCTAAAATAGTTTGATAGAAATCATGATGATTGTGATGTTTTTCTATTTTTAGAAATCATGATGATTGTGATGTTTTTCTATTTTTTGTTGTTTGGGCGTGAAGTAGTGCACGAGGCCCTCCATTGGTTGACATGTAGGATTCCAAAATACACCAAGACAGCTGTCGACCCAATACTTCTAGGAGAGAATACGCTGGCTAGAAGGGGGTATTGTCCTCAAGGTTGCTTCTATAGGAAGGGCCGACATGGATCATAAAAAACTGCTAGTTGCGCTTACAGTAAACGGTTTACAATCAATTAATATGCTACATTATAATGTAGAGTCCTTCGGCTATCAAGTCATTCATTCTAGGAGCAACAAAACTCGAACAACGGTATGATTGCCGCTCCAGCACATCCCTGCTTATTGTCATGACAGAAGCCGCTACTAGTGTTCTGTCCTCAGTCGAATTCTGGATTTATGACCAGAAGCTTTCTTTCGCATCTCTTCTGGGTATCTCTGCTGGGTCCAATGGGTCATTGTAAAAGGCGAGATGGCAAACATTCATCGGTTTGACAACATACCCGCAATCTAGACCAACAGCAATAAGTGCCTACTGCAGTGATCTTCTCAGCAGAAACGACAGACATCGAATCAAATTATTGATAACCCCATGGACCAGCCAGCGCAGAACAGTGTTGATTGTTGATTCAGGTGATGAAGAAGTGGTATCGAATCTGGAAGATATGCCATCCAGTATTTTCTTGACAAAAGAGCGCCAACATAATACTCCTTGCGGTCCTTTGTCCTCACTACGGCGCCAGATTACAATGGACTGGTTGCTCTGTAGTGCCCAGGATGCGGAGAACTCGTCCAGATACGCCCAGTGGCTGATTGATATGTGTGACAATAACACAAGAGGATTCCAGCCATATTAAACGCCACCAAGAGTGGGCAAATGTGAATGTGCTGGAAGCAAAGGTGAATAGGTGGCACTTGAAGGATCGGGAGCGCACCGTTGCAAAGTCTATTGGTATCACCGTCCATGGAAGATGTTCCTTTCAGAGAGGGTGGTTTGACAAAAGCGACGCCAATGTCACCAGTCCAACCCGTACAGGTTTTGCAGGAGCCATGTTTGAGAAAATTCCACACGAAGTCCAAGATGTTGCTATCTAAAACTTACATTTACATCAGCATCTTTGCTCTTCTTTCATTTCTGTTGGGATATGACAAAATATGAGTTTTTACATTCCGAAAAGAAACTATTCAAGTACAAAGTTTTTGACACGTACGATCGGACTTTGATCGTGATGTCGGGATTCGACGCAAGTATGCCGGACGACAAGTCTGTCGGACAATCTACATCCACACAAAAAGGGAATGACCCTATACAAGTGAGATATCGATGTTTTGTACAATGCAGTAGGGAATAATACAAGATGTCCCAAAGTACTGAATTCAACACAGAATTGTCGTAGAAGTCGAATCAAGTTCTGTAAACAAGGGATTTTCAAAGGGAAAATTGTTGAACTTACTTTTGTGATTGAATGATCAATTCAAGCCAAATATTAATCAAATAGGAACAATTTCACTCAAAGTATACCTAGACACAGGAGAACTATTGTTGTTAAAGTGTTGTACAGTCGATTAAAAATTTAGATTGCAGAGAGTTTGTTCTGAGCGCTAAAGGCACTCACGATAGAGCACATTTTGCTTTATTCTAACATTCAATCACAAAAGGCAACAAAACAAATTTACGTCAAGAACAGCACTGCCTTATCTACAAAGGAGTGAGTGATTCGTTGACAATGGGACGTTCTTCATCCGGTGGTGGAAGAGGACGTGTGACTCCTCAGAAAGTCAAGAGCAACTCAAGTTCAACAGTTGTGAAACATCTATTTTCAACGAAAGATGAAAACGATGGAAAGGCAAGATCGTCGTACGAAGATGCCAAGGAAAGAGTGATTGACTACATCCAAGCTTCTGGAATGAAATGTTCAGAAGACATGGTGAAATCAATTCAAGATGGAAAGTCGATTGACTTCAATGCGATCGCTCCAAGATTGAACGCTCCAACTCAAACTGAAGCTGTTGCAAGAGAAACAGAGATGGCCCAAAACAAGATTCTCTATTCTGCAAAGCTCGACGAGAACATGCGAAGATCAG